TCTAATAATGTAGTCATAAACTTACTCAAAGTTACGTCCAGTCGTRGCTGGATATAGTATGGAGAGTTTCAACCTTTTATCAGGACCAATAATGAAAACCTAKATACAAATAGAAACAGTTCAAGTTAAAAAGAAAAATAAAGAGAAAATCTTCGTGACTTTTTGTTGATGTTTGTGCTTTATCCATAAGAAAAAAAATCCGTGACTCTTTTTTAATATTCTGACAACCGATTCATCTCGCTGGCAACAGTTTTAGGTTTGCTTGCTGCGGTACTTTTTTTCCATGTTAAGATATTTTTAAAAATATATTAAATTATAATACATTAAATTATAATATTCTTAAAAGGAAAAGCATTTCAACATAGCATATTTTTTTATTATTAGCATATTAATCATGGCATTTAACCGGATTTAACTATCTTTAAACAAACGTCAAAAAACATCATTAACAACAAGAAAACAAAAAAACTGAACTTAGAAAAACGTACTGCTCTGCATGTCAGTGGTAAGCCATTTGAATCCTTTTCATCGGGGTCAAGCATTCCAAGAAGAATCGCAAGTTCACGCTTRGGATCAGCAATAATAGGRTAGGGGAATTCTCCCTTTAWRTTACTATAGTAACGAATGTCTTGAATCCAACTTTTGTGAGACTCAACGTCGTCACATGACAGTGCCGCCATCTTTACTCCGCGTTTCGCGAATTCAAACTTTAGGTGCGCCGCACGTCCAAGTTCTGTTGTGCAAACTGGGGTAAAGTCAGCAGGGTGAGATAAGAGAATAGCCCACCTAGAGATAATGATGAGAAAAACAGTTTTTCAGCCATGATTTGGGGCCGTATACAAAGATGATATTCACACATGTATATAGAGTAATTTTTTTATAAATTCATGTTTAATATACTAGATATTTAAAGTATTTTGCCAACTTGTACTACTGTTTTGTACTCAAAAACAATGCCTAGTCTCTTTTCATTTGGTCAATAGTTTACGTTAAACCTCTTTTGAAGCAATTAGCTATATGCATGACGAAATAGTTAACACCAATTGAAAGAGAATGAAATGAAATGGATAAAATGTTAATAGCAAGAGGGAATAGTTTCCCTATTTTATCAAATATAAGTATATATGGTTATGCAACACATCTCCATTGATCACGTTCTGCTGCGCTGTCAGTACCAAGTTCGATAGGACGTCATCCATTTGTCCTATTTTCCGGCAGTTCAAATGCATAGAATTTACAAGGTATTGATATTGGTCGGGCTCCGTCATGTTAGTCGGCATGTCATACACTCAACAACAATGGTATAAAAATTAATTGAAATTACATCGCAAACAAGCAGGAATTTGAGACAAAGAGGAGGCAAAGGGACTATGGATAATTCAATAATTCGGTTTTAACGGATTGATGTATTTGGAATAGAATCCATTGAATTAAAATACTAACTATACTTACGTTTCAGTAGTAGTTCAKTACCGAAATCATATAAAAATATCCCTTTTAAACTTTCTCTATTAGTGTGTTATAAACTTTTTAGCATGATAAAAGCTGCCTTTTCAACAAATAGCATCAAACTGAGTTTAGTCGTTTTTTGTGTTCATCCTTACTTGGATATAAAAAGCTATTGTAATATGCTTTTTTGTCTTAATTTTCATTTCCAAGTTATTAGAAAATAATACAATAACCATATGTTCATATTCTCAATATACTTTTCACGAAAGGTTTATTTTTTAATGAAATTTTCAGTTTATTTAGAACAATTTTTGATTTTAAATTTGAATTTTTGAGGGAGTATTATGAAAAATCCATTTTGACGAATCTTTGTATGATCGCTTAGCTTTTTCAAGTTTTATARTTTTGGTTTTTTGACATGAGATTTTTTTCATYTCAAAAATATGTTGCGGTGCCATATGCCCATTTGTAAGCATCTGTTTTTTGTGACGATTTTTCTTCTTCTAATGATCTCTAATGTCGCATTTTAATTCAAAACGAAAAGTAAATTTATGATTTCAATGATCTTTTGTAGCAATTCTAAAATCACTTACGATCCTTTGATATAGTCGTGAAATCGCATGCGTCCATGGCTTGTGTCGGCTTCAAAATCAGGAAACTCGTCTCCAAGCATCATCATGTTGTCACAGAAAACGTCAACACAAGCTAGCGCTCTGGTCTTCAGACGACCACTTTTTAAACATTTGTGAGGAAACTGGATTTACTGGTTTGTGTGCTGTCAATCAAAATGACACCCAATCATTACCGGTAATTCAGTACTCCTCRCTCCCTCCTCTTTTCCAAATGACAAAGTCGCGGTACAATTGATTTTAATTTGTTGATTCCAACTGACGTTCATCGCCACTTCGTCTTACTTGAACATACAGACTGAAAACAATAGTTGGCCAAATCACGGGAAGTGTAGTCAAAATTGAGGACTGTTCACACAGGGTGACCGACATTGTTATATCGACCAAAAAGAAAATTGTTAAATGACGACCATTATCGTTTTTCTCCTGTCAATCACTGAAAATTGTAAATTGATGTATAACTGATGATGTAAGTGTCCCGCAACAAAATGAAGGAAATTTGATGTAAATGATTTTTTATGAAATTTACATGATTTCGGAACATTTAAATCATATTTACATTAAATTTACAACCTTTAATAAAGTGCGCGATTTTTTTTATAAAGTGCGAGATTTTTTCCAGAGAATAATTTAAGTTGTAAGAACACATGATTATAAGCATGATGACAAGGTTTGAATTAAAACTTCTTCTTCTGTTATGCCAGAACCAATCCTATGTATAAGGTAGGCAGACTGTAATTACCGTTGCTTTTGATTTACGATTTCATTAATACGACTATTTAGAGGTTTATAATWACAGCGGAAACATCACTTAAGATTGGATTGTTCTAAGCTTGGAAGCTCGCGAACGTGCCCATTTGACAAAATATATGAAAAAAAATCGATGCAATTTGAAAATATCAAGCTCCTTTTCATAAGTAGGTCTTCAAAGGTTCGTCGCGAGAGTTAGGTATAGTACAAATCGAAAAAAAACACATGTCGCGCGGACCATTAAAATCCCACAAAATAACTATACAAAAACTCATGCAAAACGTTTTTAATGAATTCTGGACCTCCATATGTCTACGGATGAATTCAATTCTTTCCATGTTAAGTCCTACTTTGTGCAAGTTATCATCCAGTTTTAACCAAAAAATATTAAATAATATTAAATAATATTAAATAATATTGTCAAGTGCAGGTGCGATTCAGAATTTCAAAATGGCCTAGTCTTTCAAGGTTGAGGGGTGAACCTCATGTACTTCTTGCCAGAAGGCATTTCCTTGACTTCAACTCCTTTTGGGAAGATCTTTGGGGCTTCTTCTTGTGAGATGGAAGGTAGGACCATGCATGAACCCCCACTCTAAAAGAACAAATTTAATATACAGATCAAAAAGTAAAACTATAACCAAAGGGTGACTACCTCATAAAACAATGTAGTAAATGCTAACGGAAAATGCTAAATGACCCCTAAAGCAGTCTTGCTCAAATATATTTCTTCCATTCCTTGGGATTCTGTGTATAAATTACTCGGGATTCCTGTGTTGTGGTTGGAAGTTTTGCTTTCTGGTCACTCTTAACACAGGAATCCCAAGCAAAGAAAATAATTAACCAAAGAGACTGGAGACTTAATGTGTTTATGGAGTGGCAATAAAATATGATTTCATTAACATTAACAGCAATTAATATCTGTTATTATTATGTGACCACTGACCTTCCATTCAACTGGAGTTGCAACCTTCTTTGTGGCAGTAAGTTGGAGTGAATCAATGACTCGAAGCACCTCACTGCAATAAATTTGTATGAAGTCAAACCACAGCAATATATCAATGGAGGCTTCTCTTGTTTATCATATCAATACTTTYAAACTGGGTGGTTCTTGGTWCTGCATATGTTGTATTGAGTAGCAACACTTGAACTAGTAATATTTTATATTTCACTGATCTACACTATCAATATTAAAAATATTTTCTTACTCAAAGTTACGTCCTGTTGTGGCTGGATAGAGAATGGAAAGCTTCAGCTTCTTATCAGGGCCAATGATGAAAACCTTCAAAAACAAATTAATGCTACTTAATAGAATTTACATGTGCTAGCAATGACAGAAATAATCTAACATTTCTTTACTCTAATTATGTTTGTAAATTAATCTTAATATTAATTTTTAAACACTTATTGTTATTGGATATTCCTGTAACAGATTGGAGCTTATATACATTACTTACAGCTCGGCATGTCAGTGGCAAGCCCTTGGCATCTTTCTCATCAGGATCAACCATTCCRAGTAGAACAGCAAGCTCACGCTTGGGATCAGCGATGATGGGATAAGGGAAGTCTCCTTTAAGTTTGCTGTAGTCTTGGATGTCTTTAATCCAGCCTTTGTGAGACTCAACATCGTCACATGATAGCGCAGCCATCTTTACTCCACGTTTTTTGAATTCACCYTCAAGGTGWGCAACACGACCAAGTTCTGTGGTGCAAACTGGTGTGTAGTCAGCAGGGTGAGAGAACAAAATGGCCCACCTAATAACAATTTAAATGAGCTTCGTATGCTTGTATATTTTAATAGCAATAACCAGTTACAACTAGAATTGTACACTGAATTGCTTCTTGACCTGAGTTCTTTGATCATTGTGTTGAAAAGTTACAACATCATGCCATTTTAAAAGTCATTCTTTTGATTATAATCAATATCACTGTTCTCTGATTAAGGCTGGGTTACCTGTGTCAGATCTTGATGAAACAAAATATTTATCAACTTTACATAAAATAATATACCAGTAAAATGGACAGTGCTAGGATAATTCTTTTCGTTTTCTCTAATTTATCAACACTAGATTTACACATGCTTCTATAGATTCATACTGCTACAAACAGTCAAAGGTATTATTGATTAGCACTCTTAAAAAATATTGTTAAACTTTCATCTACTAGTATGAAATTCAAGTTAGTAATTGGTGATAAAAACATATCAGAGATATTAGAAAAATTAATATATATACTTGCTACAGTAGCTATGTGTAGTCAGCTATATTAACATATGCAAATTTTCAATCATTCGCTCCCTGTGTGACGCGTGTGTATTCAACTTGTGATCACAAAAAAAGAAATTATTTGAAATTTTCCAATCTAAAGACAGTGGAATGTTTATAAGCAAGTTAGCCTTGCACATATATTATTGAAGTTAATAATTAAAGCTACAAACATGGGAATACGCTTGGTTATGCAACCATCCGACACATGTAACGGAACTGTGTTAATCATCGATTAAACAATTCTTGTACAAGGAATTGCGATTTGTACAAACCATAAAATTGCATAAGAATAATATAATTAGAGCTTTTTAATTCCCTATCAAGATATTTAGTATATTATCGTTAAGTAAGCTTATTGTTCATCCAACTTTAGGCGGCATTCAAAAAATTTTCACTTGAATGCAGAATG